TTTGGAGCTGTCAGGAAAAAAAACTCCTTTACTGGGTCAGAGCAATGGTTCTCTCCCAGCCCACTATCCTGTCTTCTAGCAGTGGCCAGCACCAGATGCTTGAGCGCATAAAAAGAACGGGGCGATTATTCCATGATCCATTCCTGTGCTAGCTTCTGGAAGCCAAAGACATAGGAACACCCAGAAGATGCAGATGCACCCTGACCATCTTATCTAACAGCCAATGCTGGACATATCCCTCCATTAACTTGTTAACCCAGTTACACTTCTGGCCTTCACAGTAAGTTCAACAGATTCTCTATGTGCTGTGTAAAGTACTTTCTTATGCTGGTTTTGAACCTGCTTGTCTATTAATGTCAGGATGCGTCCACTTGTTCTTGTTATGTGAAGGATAACTAACATTCCCTTTCTCCACACCATTCGTGATTTTTAGGTCTCTCTCTCTCTCTCTCTCTCTCTTCCCCCCTCCCCCCCCACAAGGTGAACAGTTCCAGTCTCTAGTCTCCTCATATGGAAGCTGTTCCATACCCTCCATCATTTTGTTTGACCTTCTCTGCACCTTTTTCTAATGTTAATATTTCTCAGATGGGATGACCAGAATCGCACACAATATTCAAGGTGTGGGCATACTATGGAGGATATTTTTGTCTTCTCTCTCTTTCCCAATGGCTCCTAACACCATTAGCTTTTTATGACTGCTGCTGCACACTGAGTGGATATTTTCAGAGAACTAGCAACAATCACTCCAACTAGGGATGTAAAGATTGGTTAAAAATGTTGAGCTGTTATCCAATTAAAACTATATAGTTTAAACTGCTCTGGTCCCTCAGGACACCACTATTTACCTCTTCAAACTGTGAAAACTGGCCATTTGTCTCCTAGCCTTTAATTTATTACTGATCCATTAGAAGGCTCTTTTATCCAATGAATCCACAGGTGATGCACCAGGGTGGGAGGTAATGGTGGGGTCAAATCCTCCTGCCCCGATTTCAATTGCTGAAATCGGGTGCCCTCACTTCGCTCTCCCCCCACACCTCTGCAGGCCTGGGTAGCCTCTGCATAAATCCTGACTTAACAGCCTTTGGTAAGAGATCTTGTCAAAGGATTTCTTCAAGTCCAAGCACACTATCTGTACTTGATCATCCTTGTCCAAGTGCCTCACACCTTCAAAGAATTCTAAAGGATTGGTGGAGAATGATTTCCCTTTACAAAAACCACGTTAAACTTCTGACCCCACCGATAGATGATATTCATTTTCGTGTGTCTGATCATTTTGTTCTTAGAATAGTTACCAATTTGCCAGGTCTTGACAGGAACTGTACTAGCCCACAATTGCCATGAGATCTTTAAGAAAAGATCAGTGTCATTGGTACAGAGTAGGGCTGTTAAATTGTCAGTCAATTGAATAGCTGACTAACCCTGTGAATTCTTATTGGTTAGTCAGCTATTCCATAGTCCCGAGGCAGCCAGTGCGCTCGACCCCCACTCCCAAGGAGAGCCCTCCCTGCCACTCCATGCTGCTGCCTCTCTATTAGCAGCACAGGGGGCCAGGCAGCAGCTGGTCCATCAGGGGAGCCTGTTTAAAAACCAACTCCCCTTGCAGACTGGCTGCCCATTGCCTGCAGCTGCTGATACAGAGGCAGCAGCGTGAGGTGGCAGCAGCCCATCTGGGGGGGCAGGAGGGAGGAGGGGGTCCCAGAGCAAGCACAAGCTGGAACTGAGCAAGGCTGCCTGCCCACCTGCTGCCTAATACACGTGAAATGCAGAGCCGCAGCAGGAGTAGGTCCAGGACCCAGCATGAGCCAGGACTGAGCCATGCAGCTGGCCAGCCTGCTAAAAAATTTACTGGCAGAAGAGGGGGGAAATGTGTGTAGTCCATAGCATTAACCTATAAGTTTTTGCTTATCGATTAATCGACTACACTAGTACATCCCTAGTACAGCAGCTGACTGAAGTGGTAGCACGCGTATCGGTTAGTAGTTCTGTTATTTCATATTGGAGTTCCTTTGGAATTCAGGTGACTTCAATTGATCACTTTTCTCCAAAACATCATTCAGGG